TTTGGAGAGGTTTTCGCTATAGGGTGCGTGCGCTCGCCAGACAGACAGAGACAGAGAGACAGAAAGTGAGGAATCACCCCCCAGGGAGGATGGTCACACCGCAATCCCTTCTCCTCCATTCTCCTCTCGGGATCCTGGGCACGCACACACATGCGCCCAGTGTGAGTTTAAGCCACCAGGTCCGGGACGCGAACTGCGATTGACTACGTGGGAGTCCACCAACATAGCTATTATGCTAACTGCTGGTCCTACTTATTTACTTTTAAGTGTTTGCCAGAGGGCATGTGTGCTTGCTGGCGTCAGGGAGGGACAGTGAGAAGTCGTCCCTTGTGGCGGATGGCCACACCACAGTGCCTCCCCGGGATTTTGAGCACACACCATAGGCACCTGGCATGATTTTGAAGTTACTGGGTCTGGGACTTGAACCATGCCGCTGAGTATGTGGGATCCACACCACCAGCCGACCACATACTTCATTTCTCTCTTTTTTTTGTTTCTTTTTAAGAGAGACGGAGGCAGAGAGAGGTCAGCCCTGGGGGCGTGGCCACACTGCAATCCCTTCTCCTCAGTTCTCCTCACAGAATTTGGGGCACACACACATACGCCAAGTCACCAGGCCCAGCCCTTGAACTGCAGAGCTGGCCGTGAGGGTCCAGCACCTTCACCTCCTGCCACTGCTGGCCCAGATCCATTTCCAGGTCACGTGCAGGCCGCCCTGGCACACTGTCCCTCCCGTCATGACCACGACCTTACTCGGTGGGCTTCGCTAGCCCCACGTTTTGGTGAGACAAGTGGGCGTGAGTGGTGAGGACGAACCGTCCGGGCCTCCGGCTCTGAGTTGGAGCACTTGCCTGTGCCAGGGCTGCTCGACGCGGGCAGACCGCACAGGGTGGGGTGGGGCCTCCCCCTCCCCACTCCTAGCTGCCACCTGGCCAAACCAGCGGGGGCTCGGGGACGGGGGCCTGGGCTGGCGGACCTGGCCTGTGACTGGGTAGGAAGAAGGCCTCGGAGCCCGGCCCGCCAGTCTGGGACCGGCACCGGGAGGCTCTGCCTCCCTCCTCCAGCTCCACCTCTGCCCTGGGTTTCCAGGGGCAGGTGTACTTAGCGTCTCGTTGCCCTTTGGGGGGGGGAAAGGAGGCGCCTCTGTGGCCTACAGGGTGTCATGCTATGCATCCACATCCCACCTTCTCGTGCAACGACCCAGCCTTTCAGACAGGGTGGGGACTCCATGTGTGCACGTGTGCGTGTTGGCAAGCACATGTGTGTGCAGTGGGGCAGGTGCAAGCACAGACTGAGGTGGTGCCTCGTGGCGAGTGAGTAGCCCTGGCCTGTTCAGAGGCGGAGCCCGCCTTGGGGTGAACGTGCCGCAGCCCCCGGTGGCTTGGCCTGACGCCCCTGTGTCTGCGCTGACCTTGGACTCTGGCGGCTGGTGCAGGCTAAGGCCCGGCAAGGTGTGTGCTCTCAGTGTGCACCGGCCAGGGGCCCACGGGTTTCCTGGGTGTGGTCAGCAGCACGAGGCCCTCAGCCGTCTGCGACCCCCTCAGCCAGCCTCCCTCTGGTGTGAGCTCTGCACAGGCCCACGCTTCCTGCCAGGGTGGGGGAGCTGGGCAGACATGGGGGCGTGTGGGGAGGAGGCCCCGAGGCAGGGAGGGACGCTGTCTCCTGACCCTCGCTCGGAGCCCCGAGCCACACTGTCTCTCTTTGGCCTGCTGCGGCTCCCTCGACTCTCAGGGCAGCTCCCATGACCCGTAGGGCAAGGAGGTAGGAGCGGAGGGAACAAGGGCAACCCTGGCACTGCTCTGCAGGGCTGACGTCACGTAAAGGCGGACGCCAAGGCTGGCCTGAGCGCGGGTGTCCTGAGGTCCCAGCACGGACTTCCGGCCCGAGCCCTTCTGGGTGGCCCTGGGCAGCTGACCCACCTGTGTGACGCTCGAATGCAGGGTAGTACTCCTCACTGCTGAACAGGTCGGTCCACGACATCAGGGGGTCGCAGGACGCGCTGGGCAGGAAGTTGCTGTGCACCACTGAGTCCAACATCACCCTGCGACAGAGGACAGGCCGTGAGGGCGCTGCCGCACAGCTCTGCCGCTGTCGGCACGCGGCCTCTACGCGTTCGTGCGGGACGCCCGCTGCGGGAAAACTGTGCCTGGATTTCGGACATTTTCGTGCCAGAGTGGCTTTGTGATGGATCCCTTTTCTAGGAGTGCTTGGGTGTGGCCCTGTGTCTGGCTGCTCTGTTCTCTGGTTCGGGAGCCATGGTCCCAGCTTTCCTCTGCACTTGGTGAGCGTTCCCGAGGGGTGCTGCAGACAGCGAGGTCGAGCGAGGGCAGGCGCGAGGGCTGGGTGCTGTGTTCAGAGCAGTCGCCTCCCGCCCTTGAACCCTGAATCCCGCCGTGTCCGGTGCGGGCCCAGAGTGCAGAGCTGCGGTAACACCCACAGGGCCGCTCTGCTCTGCACCTCCCTGTCACTGTCCATGGTCTTCCCAGGACAGCCGCGCTGAGGCTGCCCGGGAGTTCCGTCTGTGCGTGGGGCACGGAGGCACTAAGCCCCCGGTAACCGCGCAGACCTGCCGCTGGCAGGCCGTGGGGTCGGGTGGGCTCAGCCTGGCCTGTCTCAGGCCCCGACCCCATCGCTGTGCTCTGCCCTGCTGCTCCCTGGCTGGTGGGGAGCTCCAGGGACAGGCCTGCTCACCCTTGTCTGCACCGGCTGGCTCCTGCTCCTCTTCCCTGCATCCCCGCAGTCCAGAAGGGGGGACCCGCCCCACCCCCCCGTAGTCCAGAAGGGGGGACCCCATGTGCGGGGGGCTAGGAGACCCATTCACTCGCATTTCTGCTTCTGACTCTTCAGATCGTGCTGACGGAAAGGCAGGTTCTACCCTCATTTTGCCGTGGAGACACTGTGCGGGCAAGTGTCAGAGCACAGACCGGGCTCTGGCCTCCAGAGAGCCACAGCCTGGCTTCAGGGTGGTCGGGGACCTCCCCTGCTAGTCCGGGCCTCCCAAACTCTGCTCACTCTTCCTCCGGGGCTCCTCGCTGAGCACCACCGTCTGCAGGAGTGTCCAAAACTCCTCCCTTCACTCTGCCTCCGGTCTGCGTCAGCGTGAGGCGGGGCTGGCCCACAAGGGGACATTACAGGCTCATGCCCAGGACCCTGGCCGCGAGTGCATGCGTGCCTGTGGTCCAGCCAGCTGAGGCTGGGGCCGACTGCAGCCTGAAGACTCCGGTGGGCTCTCTCTCTCCTCTTTTATTCATGGAAGACTCAAATAGACTTTTTTAGAAAAGGAAAACTTATAATTATTATTATTATTTTTTGCTATAGGGTGCATACACTCATCGGAGACACAGAGAGAAATAGAAAGCACCCCGGGGGGATGGCCACGCTGCAACCCCTTCTCCATCCTCCGGGGACTTGGGGCACGCACGCACACGTGCCTGGACTGTTTTTCAGGCTGTCGGGTTGGGGACTCAAACCACTCAGCCACGTGGGGCCCAGCTGCCTCAGCCACCACGCTGCCACCCGGTCCGAGAAAGGAAAACTTTGTATCATGATATAAATGGAAAAGCAGCATTTTTAAAACACATGTGAAACATACACATCGGCGTTAAATAGAAACTGCTCATCCATGCACCGAGGTCAGGGTGAGCACACCCCCTGTAGGCCGAGCCTGCCCACTCCCGTCCTGTGCGCCTTGTGGCTAAGGAGCGCCACGTCTAGAGATCATGGCGATTTACGAGGTCGTATAGAACCATGCGGTATCCTTCATTTTGCCTTCTGTCCTACAAATCCTGACGTATTTACTATCAGGGCCTTTAAACAAATGTTGACCACTGTGTACCCCCACACACACCAGTGGCGTGAGCCCGCGTGTCGGGCGGCATGACCCGTCTGACTCTCCCCTTCACAGCCAAGGACACCAAGACACAGGGTCGGTGCGGCCTGTCTGAGGTCGAGCAGCCAGGCGCGGTGGAGCTCGGCTGCCTGGAGCCTCAGTTCTGACGCCGTCACACCCGCACACCCGCACACCTGCACAGCGGAGAGAGCTGCAGGCCTAGGAGAGCTGGGGCCCGGCTCTGGAACCAGCTCCTCCCGCTGTCGCAAACCTGCCCTCGACGTCCCAAAAAGGGAAGAGAGCCGCCTCTGACAGAGCGAGTGGCGCACACCGGCACCTTTCCGGGCCACCACCCGGGAGTCCTGAGTGTCACTGGGAACCCCCCAATGCTGGGAGGTTGGCACACCCAGCAGGTCACCACGGCTGCGGGCCCCGGGAACAGTGCCGCACAGAGTCAGGGCTGCCTGGCTTGGCCCAGTCCCCTGGACTGACCGGCTTCGTACCCTGAGCTGGGCAGAGTGACAGTGCCCGGGTGGGACGCTCCAAGGTCGGAAGGGCCTGGAGTCCGGAGCCACGTCTGCGTCCTAGGCTGGACTGCAGAGGAGCCCCGTGGGTGAGGACTGAGGGCGGACGTGTCCAGAAAAGGAAGACGAGGCAGGTAGGCCTCCATGTACCCGTGCTGGGCTTGGTGGACGGAAACCGAGAATGGTCCCGCATCCACCCGGGCCCTCCCGCACCCGCCCGGGCCCTCCCGCACTCTCTCACAGTAGCGGGGATCCCCGACACACTGAGCGGGGCCTGACCCTCGGCAGTCCTCCAGCCAGGCCCCAGGGAACGGGACGGTCACACAGGCCTGGGAGTGCACCTCAGAGTGGGCCGCCCACTGCCCACCGCAGTCCCTGGGACAGGGTGCCTGTCTGATCCCGGGCCTCCCTTGACAGTAAAGGGCTTGCGGCGTACAGCACACGGCTGTCCTCAACGACTTCTCACTTTCTGAAAAAACATCTTTTATAAAAGCAGCAGGTTTTTTCTCTCCTCTTTCTCATCTGTCTTCCGCTCTTGCAGTGGGACGGGGTGTCATTAACCCGCATTCGTACAGAAGACCTCGGCCGGGTAGCAGCCTGTGTGGGGTGTGCGCTCAGGCCCGTCTGCGGTGCCCTCCCGGCCCGCACAGTGCCTGCACGCCTCCGCCGTGACAGCTTTCTTACTGGGGGCCCTGTGGGGGCGAGGCGGGGGAGCGCAGCCGTGGGGCCCACCTTGGGTGAGGACAGCGACAGCCACGCGCACACACAGGCCTGAGGTCAGGCCGGCATTCTCAGCGGGGAGCGAAAATTGGCTGCTGGGGGCGAGGCGTCAAAGAACTTGGCCCTCTTTGCTTGTGAGCCTGCAGAGGGGACGGGTGTCTGTAGTACTAACATTTCTGGGGTGGGAACCATGCGGCAAAATTGACCTGGAGGGGTCCACTGAGGAGGCGATGGTGAGCACGGGCCGAGAGGCGGGGTGGCAGACGCGGCTCGGCAGCAGGGCCACAGGGGCCCTGGGCTGGTGCTGGGCCTGCTGTCCTGACAGCCTGTCGCTGTGCAGTGGGCTTCTGGCTCACCCTATGGAGAGGGCCCCGGGCGGGGAGCTGTGGCTCTGCCTCATGCACCTCTCCCAGCCTCAGTCCTGCACCTCCTAAGCCGGGACACAGGCGAGGGGCCAGGACTGCCCGCGCTCCATGATTTCCCGCAGACACCCACCCGACGGGCCGGTGAGCTCGCCACGCTAGAGGCAAACCCACCCAAGGCCGGCAGAGGCCCACGTCTGGCCCTGAAGCCCCCGTGGCCTCTTCTCCCCGCCCGCCTGTGCCTGCTGCCTCCAGGCAAGCCTGGCAGAGCAGTCGCGGGACCTGGACAGTCCGCCCGGGCTGCTGGGCACCTCAGCACCTGGACGCCCAGCTGCTGCCCACCCGGCAGGCCTGTCCAGCTGCCTGGGAAGGGAAAGGCTCGGAAAGGAAGGAGGCTGGCTGCAGGTACCTCTGGGGGCGGGGCAGCAATGGCGTGGACGCCGAGGTCCCCGGACGCCTCCAGTGGCGTCCTCACCCTTCTCAGAGTGGAGGCGCACGGGCCTGTGGGCTCGCAGCCACATGGGCACCAGAGGCAGCAGGAACAGGTGTGGTGCCCACGGCCGACATCCCCTGCTCAGCCACGCAGAGAGGGCGAGGAGCGAACCACCAGCCCTGGCCAATCTGTCAGAGGAGGAAAATTCCTTCCTGACCCTGGCACGGATCGTCAACTCCGCTCTGAGCATGTGACCCAAACCCACCCAATCAGGCGCTGCACACTGGCCACCTATGAGCCCAAACATCGCCGGACCCAACGAGGGCCACCCGGTACAAATGCGGCCAGGAGGGCCTTTCCCAGCCCCACCCCCAGGACTACGATGGGAAGAAAACGGCATTTCCTCCTGCAAAGCCTCAGAGACACTTCAAGGTCTAGTGGGTCTTGAGCCTGCGGGCGGGGCAGGGCCAGTCCCCCACCCCTGGCTGCTCCAAGAATGGCCAGGGGAGCATCCCACCCCCGCCACTGAAGAGGGCCATGGGGTGGGAGCTCGAGTGTTTGTCCTGCGGGAGGGACCAGGCAGCCGTGAGAACGGGCCCGCTGATCTGCCTGCCTTCCCACCTGTCCTTGCCCGCTCAGGCATCTCTGTGCTCCCGCCGAGCTTCCTGAAGGGGGCGCAGCCCACAGGGCCGCAGCCTGCTGTGGGCGGCTGTGCAAACCTCGCCGGGTGCGGAGTGCACACTTCCGGGGTGAAACTCTAGCTCTGCCGCTCCCAGGAGAGCTGCCGGGACTCTTCTTCCCAAATGCCGCCGACAGGCTTTGGGACCCTTTCTGAGCCCCAGCTCCCTCAGTCTAAGTTGGGGATCCTCTGGGTCCGAGGGTGTCACAGAGGACTTAATACACGCAGATGACGGGGCAAAACATGCATGCTCAAGCGTGTCCCAGAGAACAGCAGTCGTCACCTGCAGGGGCCTTCTGGTGACTTCTGGGATGTCCCAGGCTGTGGAGACCCCTCCTGAGTCCGGGGCTGAGCCCTTAGGCAGCAGGAGGCAAACGCAGCAGCACCCCAGGCTGCGTCAGGAGCCCTCGCCCACAGTGAGGGGCCTGGCCTTACTGCTCTTTGCCGGATGCCTCCTAACCAGGAAACCCAGCGAACTCTGCTAACGCCTGGTCCTAGGCTGTTTGAGGGAGTACGTGCTACCGGTTGCTGCCAGCAGGGGGCAAGCTTGGGCTCACCACGGGGCAGAGTGGGACCCTACTTGTGGCTCTTCCAGAAGCTTTAGCTTCTAGGGGGTATGAGGGGACAAAATTAGACTCTCTCTCTTTCTTTTCTTAAATTCAATTTTGCTACAGGGTGTGCGTGCTCACCAGATAGAGAGAGAGAGAGAGAGAGAGAGAGAGGAGGGGGAGGGGGGGGGGGGGGAGAGT